TGGGTAAAGTTTGAAAAGTTGAATTAGCGACTGAATAATATGTGAATAAAATGAATTTTCTTCTGGGTGTAATAATAATTGTTATTATGTATTAAAAATGGATTTTCTCACGTCTACTCCGTTTTAAAAATTGTCAACCCACGCCGCTGGTATAGATATCAATTTATACCTGCTTACATGTATACAAAATATATCTGAAAAAGCATTTCAGACCTGGTTCTTTTTAGCTAATTATTTTTTAGTTGCCTTTCCTTATAAATGTATATATATATAATACTTAGACCAATATTTCTTGTACAGTAGACCCTCTATAACACTGTAGATAATTCCGTGTTATATGAATCACTTAGATTTTACAAATACGTGAGCCGTTCACTGTAGTGTATAATATATATAAAAGTTTTCATTAATAAACCAAAAAACGCCTTTAATAATTAAATTGAATAAAATTAGTACTAATTAAATACAATGCAATTAATGTTACATTTACACAAGTTTAGACTCTGGACAGAAATTTTATTAATTTGTAACTTAAATGTAATTCACAAATACAAAATTAGGGTTATGAATAGAGGCCGATTTTAACATTACAACTTCAGAACATAAAAATTAATGAAATAACTACAGTTTTACTGCTTAAATTTATATTATTTAACTTAACAATTTATGCATCCAAATGTATTATTTTCAAATAAAATTTTAAATATTGTTGCTCTTTAGAACGACATTGAAATTGTTGCTTAGACCTTTCCCAGAGTATTCACACCATCATAAATTCCTTACTACAATATTGAAATATTGTTGAAACAAAACGTAGCCCAATACAAAACAATGTTCAATGTTCCATCAAGATTTGATAAAATGTATTGCATTATATTGCCACATTTTCATTCGGACCATACAAAAACCATTTTTATATATACTGAAAATGAAGAATCTACTTTCACACAATCGAAATTGTAGTTTTCGAATGGATTAAACACTTCAAATTCAGGAAAACCGAAAAAGTCAACAGAGGTAACGAAAGGAATGTCTGCTTTGAACGTTTTCGGTGTCCTTATCGTAGGGAATACGAATGCAAACATTTCTATTGCACTATTTTCGGTTTTAAACGTTCGGTTCCAACATTTCTTTGAAACAGTCGACCCCCCCTATAAGACGGTAGATACGTTCCGTCCTTTATGAATCGATTTCTTACGAGTCCTTGCCAATTACAGCCCGACACGTATGCACTTTACGGACTACGGCTGTTTGAAAAGTTTTCTTCCATAAAATTAATCGATTCTAGATTAATCCGACTCAACATTTCCAAGATACGTATATTTTTTTAAAAAAATAATCCGTATAAACTACGCTAAAAACAAAAAATTGTATGATTACTTACCGAGTGTGCACCATTCGACATCGCCGTTGCTCAAGCTTGTTTTCGTCGCGGAACAGCTCATCAAACCGCGGCCGCGATTTCTGATGTTATTTTTCTGCGAAAACTTCGTTGAACTTTGGAGACATCATTAATATAAATAATTTTTATGGCCGTTGAATAAGGAATGTTTCTTTCACACGAAATGTATAAAATTACAGTACTGTATTAGACTTACGGTACCTAATTTACATACTGTACAGACGATAGTTTGCCTAAACTCTCCGTAG